CTTAGTTAAAAATAACCTATTTTTTATATATTTCGTCTCCATTGTGATGAGATTCATATTCATTTAATTAAATTTTATAAAGTGACGGTTGAATTGTTTTAATGAAATTAATAGGAAATTTTTAATTAGCTACCTTAAAATGGATAAATTATTGATTGAAAATGGTCTCATTTATTCTCTGACTAAGTCATGCCAGCAGGTAAACAAGATTGGTTCATCACAATTTCAAATGCAATCGTGAATAACAACTTCTGAAGTCTAGGCCGAAAATACAAATATAAGTTAGAGGGGGCAAGAATGATTGCATAAATCTAACTGGAATTTATGAGAGTGAGTTAGCGATCGGGGAAGGGGAATGTATTGCCCAAGCGAAATGCGGATATGCGAAATTAAGTTCAGCTAAAAGTTCTTTTAAATTGACAGTTTGAAATGGGAGAGGTGGGCCAAGTATATGCCGATGTCAATTTGAGGGGCAAATTCGACGCTAAATATGTGCAGAAGTGAGTTAATATGAAGCAAGAAACTATGTATAAAACTTATTCGCATGTTATTATTGTAGTATCATTAAAAATTGCAGTAAGTACGTTTACTTCTAAACCTAGAAAAAGCTGAGCATAAAATCAGCCTAATTCTAGTTTTGATAACAGCTCGTACAATAAAGAACTAATACCTAGTTCAAATTAAAAAAATTCCTAATTTATTCTTAGGATTTATGATTAATATATAGCATTCCGTTTATATTGTTGTTGTTATTTTTATGTTATTCTCATGGAATATTTCTTATCATTTTAAAAATTTTTTTACTTCGAAATCGAGAAAATTGAATGATCTCTTACGAGCTTCAAAACCGATTTGTACCACAGCCTAAACTTTATTAAGAAATTCGATCTCTGAATTCAGAATAGTTCTACCACTGAAGAAGAAAAGCTACATAGACGTCTTTCTTAATTTCCGTTCTGGCATTAAGGTCAAATACGTGATGAATAATGACGATTATTTTTAATGATTCTCCATTAAATTCATCAAATGTTGTGTAATTATGAATCCATGAAATTGGGAGAAAATGGATTTAAGCCATCCTAGGCTAAGTTGACAAGGGAAATTTGTTTAAAGCAAATAAACAAGTTCTCAATTGTCTTTTTGTTAGTTTAACGAAAACAATGGTTTGAAAATAGTAAAACCCACTATCCTAATTAACCAGCTTTTTAATGGGTGTTAGAGGCCATGGAGATAGTAATTTATTCAATAAATTTCGGTTTCAGAAGATGCAAACGTTTCAAAGTAATCACTGTGAACCTGGAGTGCTCGATGTCAAAAAGTCTATAAACCTCCAGTTCAATTCTGACTTCAAACTACCATGACCCCACTGTATGTCATCTTCGACCAATTTTATAGTACTCACCTTTCCTTTTACACTACCTTTGTGTCTCTCTGTCTCTTTCCCACCTGTGAATCCCCCTTCTGTTCCCCACCCTCCTCTCGAAGAGTTAGCAAGATGTGATTTTTTACTTCTAACTGAACTTAATTTTTATTTAATCTTCCAATATAGAGTTGTGTTAAATTTTAAATCAATCCTTCTTTTTATTTTTTAATATAAATCAAAAAATATATTTGATCAAAAAGGTTATTTTAATTTATATACTTATAATTAGCCGGCATGTGTTGCAAACATATACAAATTTGGTATGAGTTAAATTGTGAAGTTCGGGATGGTTTTTAAATGAGAAACAGATTTTTTTGAAATTTAGCACATGTTGAAGTTAGACTAGATAAAATTGAAAAATATTATACCCATTAACTTTTCAAAATGGGATAATTATGATTCAAAATATAATCCATGTGAAGTCCCCGCTCTAAAAATCCCTAAAGTTAAACAGAGAATATTCATGACATGAATTATGAAGATAACCATAATTAGCACTATGCATTTAAAAGTACATAATTTCAATTCAATGAATTAGAAGAATTGACGCATTTTCTCCTAACCTAAAGATTATAGGAAATTACAGTAACTATATTGGGAATAATATATAATAATAACTTTAGGTTGCCACTTGCAACGAATGTTTTAAATTAGTGCAATCGATCATTTTCCTTCATTCAAAATGAAGAATGTGTTGCTTAAAGTTAATATTTATAGACGTACCTTCACGTGGTGCACCCTGGGCAACATATACTTATATGGCAAAAAGTCTATAAACCGGTGGTTGACTTCTGACTTCAAACTACCATGACCCCACTGTATGCCATATTCGACTCCTTTCACAATACTCAACTTACCTTTTCTCTGTCTTTGTGTCTGTCTGTCTCTTTTATAGGTGTAAATCACTCTTGTGTTCCCGCCTCTCTGTGAAGATAACTAATGTGCCAATGAAAGCTATCATAAAGTCTTCTCTTTGATATAATTAAATAAATTCGTTTTAGGATATTATTGGAAAAACTATATCTGAACTGTTCTTTGCATAAATGTTTCAAATGAGGAGTTTGGAGATCAGTTATGTGAGCCTAATAAGCGGAGTTCGAAAACGTTGGTCAAAATGATATAAATCCTATCAAAAGCTTTCGGGAAATGCTCAAATGTACATCGTATATGATGATGTCTTTAATAGTGTAAAAGGTGCGGACAATCCCTTGTGTACAGTTTGAATTTCAGATGACATCTCATTTGTTCTGTTTTCCTGTTGTATTCGATTTTTATTAAATAGAGTTCTCAATTTTAAAAAATAACCACTCATTCATAGCATATAATTCTTTTAACAATTAATAGCAGCCAAATAATATGATGCATCAATCAAATGTGAGCCAGTGCAAGTATATCAGGATAGCATCATGCTCACTCTAAGTACTTTCTCAATCCCCTAATGTCATTTAATCAATGAGAACTGACATCCAACAAAGTACTTGTGCCAATTAATAAACATACTACATGCTACTAATTGGAGTGGGGAATTGAGCGATTTTGAACAATATTCACGCAAGGAATCCAAACTCCACGGACTTATATGGAACCTCGCATTTTAGTTTAATTTTCTTTGTTTATACTTAATCAGTCTTCATCTAACTTAATCAGAGTCCTTTGTTTAGAAGAAAGAACGCCTGCTTGCTCTCAGTATCATTAGGAAATTCTTTACTTCTTTTTGCTACAATATTGAAATTAGATTTGCACAGTAACCTTTAAGATAGCCAATCACTTAACGATCGCTACTGACGACTTAAATGATCTCTATCTATATTTTGTTCAAATAGTGGAACAAAGTATTTTCGATTCATTGTATTTGTGTCGGGGGTTTTTTTTGTATATATGTATATATATCGTTTTAGCTGTCGAAGCTTTGGTAAGGTATGTGAAATCACAAATGTTAATTCCACTTTTCCAATGATTGGCTTAAAATAGAATTTTGAAGGTGTGTGATAAGGTTTGCAAAATTAAACATTCCAAAGTAAAACCTAAGTAAGAAATGTTAAAATTTGCGAGGGTTATTTCTATATGCCTACATGGGTGGGTAAAGAGAATGGTAAAAAATAGTGGTTTAATAAGTTAACTAATCACAATGATGAATAATGAATAGTAATCTATTGAAGTAAATTAATGGAAAAATCAGATGTTGCGAAGGCAATTATTGCTCAATTTGAGAAATTTAAAGCGCTATGCTTATGAAATTCAAATGAGACGGGACTCGACTCCACTTCACTAATTCGCTGTTTAAAACAGACGAAATCCCCCCACCCCCTCCTTAATTTACGTGTACAATAAAATCTTTGAAAATAACTCTCCTTAGTTCAAGTTAAATTACGTTCAGAAGTCACAGATGCTAATTCCCCTCAATGAATGACTTTATTTCGTAGATGATTTTTAAACATTTGGATTTTTTAAGCCTTCCAATTAAATTTAGGCGGGCACCTTTTAGCAGTTCAGAAAAATTTTAATAGTGGTAAAGATTCTGTTTTTATCTTATTAGGCACTCTCCTCTTCTATTTGTAACTGTGCTTTGGTTCGTGTGTGCTTCTTTTCATTAATTTTATTTTTTTCCACTCATCAACCTGTTTTTTCTTATATCTACAACTTCATGTACCTTCGGTTAAAATGCCAAAAACGGAGCAAGCTCGTTTAAATTGAATGTAATTCCCAGATAAACTACCTGGCAGAACGCTCTTATTGTGAGAAGTCTCACTGCGTTGTCAGCATCAAAATTGAATACACTTAAAAACAATTCAAATGTCAAATAAATTGGTCCATTTCGAGGGCGTTTTGCGCAAATTAATAGCCAGTAGAGTTTATTGCGGGTTCACTTCTACACAGAACACCGTCGCTATCTCGGAACCATGAGCAAGTTGATTTTACACTTTCTCTTGGAAGGGTCGCAAAAAATGCTTTCATTTTGACCATTAACTGGTTAGTTTCTCTATTACTGTCTAGACGATAAGTCACTTCCATGAAAATGTTCTAGACGTACATGTTACTCTATCGGGTTAAGGTCTGGAGGGGAGGGGTGAATTAAGAGCCCCAATACGTATTACGACTGATGTATTCGTAAAATTTGGGTCGCATTTGCTTTTTTATTTTTAACGGTGGTGTCTCAGAGAAAATTTGAATCGCTCTACAGAAATAAATATGCGCCTATTCTTGACCACAAACCTTATTCAAAGCTAATAATTAGTAGTTAACAATTCAAAGTGTGTATCTGGTTAAAATTAACCGTCATTTGAAATGGAGAAGTTGTTGCTTGCGAGGCGTGTGGTCAATATAAAGTTTAAATGTCAAGTCAACTTTTCCATTGTCACCTTTCCAGCAGTCTCTTCCACTTACTAAGCCAAGATTGATCATCAAAAGTCATCATTTCGGATCGCCTTTGGGTGGCCCCAAATTTCCACAGTTTTAATGAACATGCCTAGTGTTGCAACTGCTCTAGAAGTGGCAAAGCGAATCCGACCTCGTGTGCTTGGATAGATTGAAACTCTTTTAGGTCTCACAAATCAACAGTGCACTTCATGCATAGCACCTAGAAATGGGGATTGGCATGTGCTTGAACTGAAATTTTTGGTGGTTGGAGTCGCCTCAATTCAGGACTAGCTTCACGACAAGGACAAACCACTCGAATAACTGTGACGAAAAATATCCGATTTTTGATATTCATGTGGCCCAATTTTTTATTCAATAGAGTTACAGTAAATTCTACTGCGTGATCGTCTGTTGTGTTGCCTTTTTCGAGTCCAAAAGTCCCGTTATCTCCGTGAGGAATTGATTTCATTGTCGTCAGTGTACACGGAGCGACGACCATGAAATCCTTATTTTTATGCTCGAAACAAATTGGGATGCACCTCATTTTCCTTTAATTTTCAGGTAGGTAATAGTTGTCAATTTTCAACACAAGGATTTGAATAAAGTGTGCATAAAACATTTTGAGAAACAAAAAAATTTATTTAATTGTTTCAAATGGCGGGTTTTATGATACTTATTAATTAGCCCTTTAGCTAACTTCGGACTTCACAGAGGGGAGGAACACCAAAGTGGGAAAAAGTTGAGAGGGGGTGACAAAAGAGTGATTCAAAGATGTAAAAGAGACAGAGAGACACGAAGGCAGGGAAAAGGTAAAGTGAGTACTGTGAAATTGATCGATTAAAGAGAAAAGGTAAGATGAGTACTGTTGAAGTGGTCGAATTTAAGAAAAAAGGTGAGGTGAGTACTGTGAAATGGTCGAATATGGACAAAGGTAAAGTGAGTACTGTGAAATTGATCGATTAAGACATACAGTGGGGTCATGGTAGTTTGAAGTCAGAAGTCAACTACCGGTTAATAGACTTTTATGCCGTAAGAGTATACGTTGCCTAGGGTGCACTATGCGGAGGTAAGTCTATCGCACATCCCAGAAATGCCAAAAATAGTATTCTGTAAAATCTATTCTAGTTGGTTGAAGGAAACGGATGAAATAATGTAAGAATTTAGTCAGTTCAGATAAAATGAAGAATTATTAAATTGATTTATAATCCTGAAGGTAGTTATATTTGACCATTGTCAACCATAAATCGTCTTCTTCGCCCATTCATAAACAAGTTTGGCAAACCCCCACGGTCGCTTAGTATTTTCTTCAAGTGCCTATCCCAAAATGCATTCCAGAAAGTTTTCAACTGACTTTAAACTTTTGCAGAAAATTTTGGTTTCCTGATGCCTACCTATTCTTGGTTCAATCTAATCGGCCTTTTACTCCCCCCCCCCCCCTCCCATCATAAGACTTTCACATTTCGGTCCTCAGAACCAGAATCGTTACACCTGCAGTTTCTCCATCCAGGTTTTATCTTCAGCTTGCCATTATTTGCCTCAATTTCAACTCTCTCACATTCTCACTTTTTAATTTTTCTTTACAGCAAATATCCCAATTAAAACAGGTGATTCTCTATTTCTATTCCACGCAAACAGGCGCTTAAAATAAATCAAAAGATTTATAATGACAGTATTGAGAAAATGACGATTGATAATATTTCATTAGCTAGTATTAATATCCACTTTTCGTGCGTATAAACACTCATGAACATTTAGCATAATTAATGGGTCAATTCTTTATTGAAAACCAGTGTTATTTATAACCAGGAAAATCGTTAAATATTCATTCCCAGTGAATTAAACAGACACTCAATTTAGAGAAAATATTTCTCTTTTCCATTCATAAATCAGAGAGCTGAAATGATGTTAACTTAAACTATGTACTTTTAGAGTGACCTGAGTTGCGTCCAAGTGCAATCTACGTTGTCTCACACTTGTCGAAAAGACTTTACGTTCCCCCCCCCCC